TCCATCGAGCCGAAATCGCGCCACGGCTCGATATCTAGGAATGCGAATTTGTCGTTGTAAATCTCTTGAGAGTTGTTCTCTTGAGATCATTTAAATAGAAGAGGAAAGAATAATTCTCTTGAAAGCAACCCTCGAGAAGTTTAACAAACTGAAAAATATTCGCATCCTAACCTTATCTTACCTTGTCTTACCTTACACGTTGAAATACTAGGTTCGACTTTACGATATTATACGATATTCGTCGAGTTTTCAGTCGCGAGAATCGCGGGTACGTCTAATGAGGGTGATTCTTCTCGAAATTATATACATTATAGGGAGGACGAATTTTTCGGAAACTACGAATAATACCTTAATACCTCAAGTTATTATTAAATTATTGGAAACACTGTGTGCTTTTTATCGTCCATCGTCGGTTGTGTAGTAGTAGGAAATTTTAGTAAAGGAGGATTCTCGGTGATCGTGCCCGCGGAGCCGCGCGCGTTTTTTCTCGTTTTCCAGCCCGGGTTATTTTCAGGCGCAGAGACGTGGAAAGAGGGGTGTGAATGGGGGAGCGGAACGAAAGAGAACGAGAGAGCGAAAGACGTGCAAGTATAGCGTTGCGAGCGCACCGAGAATGGTAGACAGAGTGCGAGGGAAGAAAGGGTTGCATGTTAAACTGAAAAAAAAATAAAATAAAATAAATGAAAATAATAAGAGAAAGAAGAAGAAGAAGAAGAATTTAACCGAATCGCGCCACTTGTGCATCGACAAAATACGCGACTTTATCCAAAAGACGTACAAAGTGAGAAAGAGAAGAGTGAATGAGAGGGCTGCCAAAAGAGGATTATAAAGAGAGAGAGAGACGTGTATGATGCCATTGAACACGAACGTGGAACCGGAAGGGGAAATCAAGTGGAGAAAGATGCTGGAAGAGAGAGAGAGAGAGAAAGAGAGAGAGAGAGAGAGAGAGAGAGAGAGAGAGAGATATGATTGGTTGCATTGGTAATCCTTCCCAGTGGAAAAGAAAAAGAAAAAAGAAAAATCCTTTCGGTTTCGCGTGTGTCGAGTCCCGATTAAGTTTGACAGATTATAAATCTCACTCCCTCCCTTTTTGCAAACGCTGATTCAGAGGCCACTGTTTTTTCCACGCCCACACGATGACGAAGAGAGCGAGAGAGCGAGAGAGTGAGAGAGATAGAGAGAAAGAAAGAGAGAGTATTAGAGAAAATGAAGAAAAAAGAAGAAGAAGAAGAAGAAGAGGAAGAAAAGAGATTGATTATTTCCTTGTGAAGAATCTCCTTGTAATTTGATGCGTGTAATTTAAAATGTACATTGCCGAAAAAGAGAAAAAAAAGAAAAAAAAAAAAGAAAAAAAATATGGTGTTGTTATAATATCTGAAACGTGTTACGAACGACGAAGAAATTTTATCAAAGTGCGCTACTGGAGAGCGATTTTGTTTTTTCTCGCGGACGGCGTTTACGTTGATCCTGTTTCGCGCGCCTTGTCTCTCGACATTATTTAATTATCCTACCGTTGATCCTTACGAGAAGAGAAAGTTTATTAATCGAGCGAGCAAAGTAGATTCGAGTTAAAGAGGGAGAAGGGATTGGAGAACAAATAGAAAAAAATAAAATAAAACAAAATAAAATAAAAATTGAGGGAAAGAGAAGATATTATAAGATCGAGTGTAAAGTTTTTACTTTTGAAAAAAGGAAAAAAGTGAATTTAGAAGAGAAAACCTCCCCCCCTCTTTTGCCCAGTCACGGATGTGTGAAGAAGTAATTATTATTATCGTCCCCGGTGAAAAGAGAAAGGAAAAGAAATGGAAATGGAAATATAAGTTATATTCGGCGTGTTTTTTAGAGAAAAAAAGATTTTTATATCGAGGTTGATCGGGAGGCAAGGCTGACGATCGCCGACCACGCAAATAGTACACACACCGGCTGTCTTTCACACTCCAACAAGGAACCGGGCTCCCAGTTAATCGAGCAGGATCTACGATTTTATCAAGAACGAGACGAGGTGTCGTTTCAGATATAAGGGTGCAAAGTGTATATATCGGTGCCAAATCGCGTTGAAAGGGCGTTTGCTGTTGAAAAAAATATCGTAAAAAATATCAGTCTTTTTAAAGCTTCTACGAATTTCTCGAATTTACAAAGTCGAAATTTGCTCAACTACAAGAGAGAAAGAGAAAGAGAGAGAAATAATATCGAGCATTTTATTCTCTTTGGCCTTGTATATCAAGAATATATCAAGAATAATTTCTAAGAGGAATCTATGAATATGAATCTATGAATATCAGGAATAAAAAAAAAAAAAACGAGATACGAGACACCTTGCAAGTTCACGAATCCTGGGAGCCTGACCGTAATCGAATCGATTGGGGATAAGTTGGCTAAGGTACAAATGTACATAGGAACATAATGTTGTTATTTAACCTGTAACACCTGTTCTCGTTTCGCTGCCTCTCGTGTTTCAAATTGAATAGAAAAAAAAGGAAAAGAGAAAAATTACACCAATATATCAGAGAGATAGAGGGGACAGAGAGGAAGAAATATATCAAAGATATAATAAGATAAAAAGAAGAAAAGAGAGGAATAATCTGAAAAATCGAAGGCGCAAAAAAGTTTGGACGAATTCAAAAGTTTATTGGAAGGACGAGAGGAAGCGGGGACGGATGATTGCAAAACAGAGAAAAGAGATAGAAACGAGCGAGGGAAGAAGTGGATAAAGCGAGTCGATATTCGCAGACGGAGGATCGATAAGTTAATCGACGTTATAGCTGCGCGTAGACAATTGGTTCACGGCTCTTTCCACCTACGTTCGGTTCGTCGTCGTCGTCCTCGTTGACCCCTCCCGCCCTCCGTTTCGATTTATACTCTTTCACCCCTATCTATCGTTTTATTTCTCCACCATCGCTTGGATGGCCCGGTTTTTACGAGCCGTGATCCAATCGATCGAACGCTTCAGAAGAAGAGAAAGAGAGAAAGAGAGAGAGATAGTGGATGAGTTGAAGCGAGAGAAGAATTCTATAGAGAACGAAAGTGTCTGTGTGTATGTGTGAGAAAGAGAGAGAGAGAGAGAGAGAAAGAGAATTACAAGCAATGTACACGTACAGATACTACATAAACTCTCGTATACACGGCTTCTATTTACTCGTCGCGCACGATGGTTCAATTTTCGCTTTGTTTTTTATTTTTCCATTCTCTTATATGGTGTCTTCGTCTAATAGGATTAGTGATGGGCGTTCGATTTTTTAATCCTCTTGCGAGGGTTGCGTGCTTGCGATGCTGCCATCCAATCGAGTGTCTTTTCGGACGCCTAAAAAAAGAAAAAGAAAAAGAAAAAAAAAGAAAAAGAAAAAAATGGAGAAAATTCTAACTCGTTTGAGAACCTCGAAGACATTAAAAAAAAATACCAATAAAAATATATATATATATATATATATATATA